AATAAATAATAACAATAATAATAATAATAATAATAATAATAATAATAATAATAATAATAATAATAATAATAATAATAATAATAATAATAATAATAAAATAATAATAATAATAATAATAAATAATAATAATAATAATAATAATTAGTATTAATTAAGTCAGCTTTTCCAAACATAATTACGATTATATGTATGCCTTTGTTATTCAAAATGAATGCCATAATTCATCGCCGTCGTTGTCACCACTTTCGCATATCGCTTCCTTGTTCTCATCATTGTCATTCATCATTAATTTAATCATCATCATTATTGTCATCATCATCGTTGTTGTCGTCGTGGTCTCTTGCTGTAGTAGTTTGTCGGGATCATTTTTGTCATCGTCTTAAAGAATGTGTTAGTAATAGGAATAATGTTGTTATCATACTCTGTAAGGGGGTGGAGGAGGGTGATTTTGTCCATGAAGCACCACCCATCCCCGTTTACCGACCCATATCACCCATCTTATGGTGCTCCAAAAATTCAATACATTTTACCGCCTACCGCATTACCTCATTGATGTTTCAACTTGAAGTCTCACTTTTTAATCATTCTTTTATCTCAACTTATCTACTATTGGCAGGATTATGTTTACTTCAATGGAATGATATGAATGTTAAAGCACAACAAGATCGAGCTGAAGTTAATATTCGTGTTTCTGGTGCATGTGGTACAGGTAAGGGAGAATTATTTTTTATCCTTTTTTTTTTTCATTTTAAATTTTATTTTTTAACGAATTCTTTTTCTCTTCCAAATTCTTTTTTCTGAGAAAATTATTGTCAAAAAAATTTTGTTTAAATTGTTAATTTAATTGGATGCTATAGGAAAGAATGTATAAATGAACGATTCTTGAATGTTAAATCGAGAAAATTATATCATTTAAAATTAAAATAAAGGAAGAATTAGAAAGGAAATTTATTGTATGCATATGTACCAATTTATATCAAACCCAACCTTATTCATATCAATCCATTTCAAATTCATTTTTACCTTTGTCAACCTCTGCCAAACTTATCCCTACATCCGTCCAATTATGTCACATTCATTAGTGTTAATTTAAAGCATGCTCCATCTTTCTACATTTATATATATATATATATATATATATATATATATATATATATATATATATATATATATATAT